ACTAGTTTTAAGTGACAAAAACACATCACTAGAAATCTGGTATAGAAAAACAAAACAACATGGGAAGATACAATACAGAAAACACAAGAATGGAATGTGGCTAGAGATATTGGTTGGGTTCTGCATAAAACAGTGAATGAAGTGAGGCAGGAAGGAAACTCTGGGCTAAATAGCTAATGTGGAAGTAGTGGCTAGTGTGGAATAGCCTACTTTTCTAATTTAAATCATGGAAAGAATCATAAATGAGGACCCCAATTTGCTTAATGAACAGGAACTAAAAGGGAGGAGAACATCTTCAGTAATGCTGAAATGTTTAGAGGCAAAAATGGCGAGGGAGGATTTTCTAAATAAGATTGCAGGAGACCTTTGAGGAACAGTATTTACTTCTGCATAAACATTACAGAAGAACACTATCTGGATGGAGAGGCATTGCTGGATAAACAGAGCTAGATTAAGCAGCATGTAGAATCATTGCTTTAATTTCACTTCCAGCAGCTTATGGAAAAGAAATGTTGCACTGCTACTCAAGAGCCCTAATGAAGAATCATAGTTTCTTCTAAGAGGGAAAAATAATTTTTGCTCATCATTGCTGTTCAAATGTTCCCAATATAGGTGTTAAGATGTTTACCTAAAATATTCTGACTATGTATCACAGTGAAAAATATTAACACTGTTTCCTCACATCATCCTGTTATAGTTTCAGGGTTTCTGTGCATAGTATCGTTGTCTTATGTTAATTTGCACTTTGTTAAGGGTTTTTTTTTTAATTTTTGCAGAAAAGAGCATAACCTTTTTTTTAAAGAAAGAATAGCACAATTGGTCAGAAAATAAAGTGTTATCAAAGCTTTATTTAGCACTGGCAGAAGTAGCATTGGTGTAAACATTCCCAACACAGATGAAGGGGTGGGAAAGCATCACACCCTTCAAATGCTCACTCCTTGGTGTTTGTGCAGAAGAGATCCTGCATATATTCAGCTCCTCTGCCCAGTGAGAAACTGGCCAATTAGGCTTCCCATTTGGTAGGATAACCCCTATGTGTGTATGTGCCTAGGTTCACATGGGGCATGGCCCATGGTGGTGTCATACAAGGGGCACAGTCAATAAATGTGCTATGCTACACCTTCATGTGTTCATTTAACGTGTGAGGGGCAGAGTTGCCTCATTAGGCAGAATGAGGTGGCCTCCTCAGGTGGCAGATGAGTGGTGTGGTCTTTTCCCTTCCATTGGAGGACAGAGCATCCCAGAACAGGTGTAGAGGAAGATGCTATCTCATGATCTGTAGAAATAGCTGTAAGCAAAGCTGCTCTTAAAGGCACAGAAGCAGTACTCTTTGGAGTTGGCAACTCTGCTTTGAAATATATGTCTCCCTGCCTTTTCCTAGGTTAAGACATGCATAAGCCTTATATCAGATATGAGCATACCTAGAATTTTTTTTAAAAGAGAGAGTAAGTGATAAAGATGCCAGGTATCATGGAATAGTCTTGCTTGATTAAATATGGGTATCTCGAAAAGATTGTTTACTTTGATATTATTTAATTTTCAGTACAGACAAGATGGAAGCAATGTTGGTAGGGGTGATGGTGCTGCTTGACTTGTTCTGGATGAGGCTGCATGTTCTTTCAAGGAAAAAAAATTGTTATAAGTTCCTAGATTCAGCTTTTTCACTGGAGGCATGTATCATGCTATGTCTGTTGAACAGTGGTGTAGAAATACCTAAAATAATACGTATATTTTCCTGAAATCAATATAATTACAACTTTACTTATTATTTAAGGCTACTATATTTAAGAGCAAAAGGTAAAACAGGAATTCTTATCATGGACCTGTTTTAACTTGTACAGATCATTTTCTTTGGTAGAAGAATTCCAGCAAGGCTGAGAAAGCTTAGATTTTACCACAAGATAAACCTACACACAAAACTGCCTGCATAGTTAAAGGCCTGTATGGGTTAGGTTAGGTACCTCATTAATCTTTCATTTGCAAATTAAAAACAAATTTGATTTTGGCAATTGTGCCAGCAAGGGGATTCTCTACTCATGATCAGTTGATTGCTGAACATGCACTTGCTCATTTAAGAAGTCATCATTTAACTTTGGATGGCATAGCAGGGATGCAGAATGTTTTTCAGCCTGGCGGCCATATTCCAGTGGTACTTGTAGCCAAAGATGGTAAAAGCATGGGGCCTGAATACAAAAAATACCAACAATTCTCGGCTGAGGAGCACAGTCCTATTGCAATGCCTGTAAGCTCCCAATTTCATAAGCTTATGCAGACTGGGAGGAGTGATGGAGATCTCTGCCTCCCCACCCTTCCAGTGCACTGCATTTTCACTAGGTGGACTTTTTCACCTATCTAGCTGAAGCATATCAGAGCTGGGTGGAAGGAAGCTGTAAGGGCTTCAGAATAGTTCAATTCTTGGCTTCTCCAGGCTCCTTCCCTCCCTGTCCACCAAAACACCTCCCCCTTTACCCCTTGCAGTCATTTTTCTGACCCAGGAAAATAGCTGGTGTGTTTCTTTCAATGCCATACAGGAAGGAGAAGGGCCAGAGCTCCACTTCCCAGCTCTGAGCATGAAAGATCTTTATCCTCAGATCTGGGAATCCAAAGTATCCTATGGCCTTTCAGACACTGTCTAGGTACCATAGAGATGCTCTCGAAAACTAACACTGTCAGTAACTAAACCTTAGGGAGGCAAATTTTTTGAATGAGGAAAGACTACATAAAAACTGGGAAACCATCAAACTGGGAGGAAAAAGGTACAGCTATCTGGGGAACTCTGGAGGGCTGTATTTGGCTCCAGGTTTGCTACAAGACTTTGATGTTCTGCAAAGCTGCAGTTGAAGATGGTAATTTAGGAAGACCAGGTTTGCACAAGATGTTAAGCCCTGGTGGTTTAGCAGCTATGCAAATTTAGCATGTTGCCCAAACCTGGCTCTCTTCCTGCAGGGTGGTTTATAAGCTACCCTGGAGTGGCTTACAAATCACCACCAAGTATTGCAATGTTTAGCTCTTCCTTTGCTTGCTTACAATTTCCAGTTTGCCTTGATTCATGCTTTTCATATTCCATGTTCCAATTATATGTGTTGTACAGAGACTACTAGAATGTCCAGTGCTGCACATGTCAGCTGCTTGACTTCCTTTCCAGTTGATCTAGTTATGCAGTTAGCAACTGCACTATTCGTATTTGCCCTTTGCTCTTCCCCAGTAGCCTTCCAGCCTGGGAGCCTCAATCTTCTGGCACTATCTCTCGTTTCATCCTAGGGTTTTCAAGATAAGAATATGGTTTTCCATTGCCTTTTTTGTACAGTACTAACTACACTTAGCCAATACATTGCTGCTGTTGTCTGTGAAAGCTCTTCAGTAGTTGCCCTACAGAAGTTTCTCTGCCCTGTCACCTTTTGAAATAACCATTCCCTTCTGCTGGTATGACTGTTATTTCTGAAGGGAGTGGATACATTGTAGTTTGGTGTCTTAGCTTTGACTATTCAGCCTTGGTTGACCTTGCTAGGAGACTAGCCTAGTGAGATTCTAACCTCCTGGAAGGCATAGTTCCTCACTTCTTTGGCAGTGTCAAACATATTTTCCCTCATGTAAGGAACTCAAGGCGGTTTACACAATTGGATTTTATCTTAACCATCCTTTGTGAGGTAGGTTAGGCTGAGGGTGAGCAACTGGCTGAAAGTCACCAAGTTGCTTTGCTGAGTTGGCCTAGAACCTGGACTAGGTCCACAGTCCAGCACTCTAACCACTATACCTCACTGACTGTCAATGGAAAATTACATGCTTTTCCTGTCAGGACTTCTGTATCTTTAACTGTTGCAGGATAGACAGAGATTCAGCTTGTTGAGGGTCACTTTCCTGCACAGAAAAAAGCTGCACCTGTTGATTTCTGCCTACAGACGTTAAAGGCCTAATTATCTTATGGAGAAATGTGATAAACAAAACTTTAAAGTTCAGCCTAGGTTAGCTTCATCATCCAGAAAGTGCCTCAAATTATAGGTATAGCTATACAGAGTAATTTAATTTTATAAGGGTGCAACAGTGGTTGTAGAAAAATGCAGTCCTGAAGCTCTGAATTTTAAACACTGTTTTATCTCTTTCTCAAACTGGAACATTTAAATTAATCTGAAACTTCAGGCAGGCGATTTCATACGGTTATTTAGAGACAGTCCCTAAATGAATTGCATTAGGGCTGCTCTTGTGTTGGCTCATTCAGAATTTGACCATGCGGCGGGTGTTTTCTGCCGCAGTGTATAAAGCCCCATTGTAAACCAAATGCTGAAATTATTACAGTGCCAAAGAGTTGGGGGAAAATATCTGCCACCGTGACGCGAGAGCAAAGGAATGAAGAGAACACGGAGCGTTTTAAGTGCGATCGGGCATTTTGCTGTAAGGAAGTCGAGGCTGCTGAAAGTTGTACGGATCGGGGGCTCTTTTTGCCGCGGTTGCACAAGTATGTGCGAATTCTGAGATGGCTAGAGGGGGAAAAAATCCCAGAATAGAGGTGGGGGGGCAATAAACTCTCCATTCTCTTAAACCAGGTTTCACTTTGCTTTTGAGATAAGGGTCCTAGCGTTCCGTATTTCAGGGTTTTTTTTAGCGCGCATACCTCCCTTTTCCCGCAGACTCTAGGAAAAAACCCACTTTTTTCTTCCTCTAATCCTGGAATGTACCACCATCACTAGAGAGAGAGAGAGAGAGCGCGCGCGAGAAAAAATCTTTCTTAGTTCCCGAGTGACTTTCTTCCACTCCAATCAGAGGCCGCAAGTGGGCCGGCGTTCGAGGCTTTCCTCCAATCTCTTCGGTCGCTCCCTTTTTTGGGCGGGAGAAACCTGGAAGGAGGACTGACGTGTGCTGCTCCCTCTCTCAGTCTTCGCTTGGAAGCCTGACATGGTGTGAGGAGACGGGGAGCGGGGGAGCACCCGGGAGAGGGGTGGTATAAGGAGGAGACGGGAGAATGGTTCAGACGAGCTGAGTGGACGGTGAGGCCTGGCGTGCTGCGAAGGCAGAACTTTTGGGAAGGTCCTGGACTGGTTTTGACGGAGGTAAGTGGCATTGCTTGTACTTTGGGGACTAGTCCGGAGGAGCGTGGTGCTATAGCACAGTTCTGTTTCCAGCTGTTTTTCTTCGGGGTTCCAGTCTGGCTTCTGTTCCTGAGAACCAAACTGGATCACCTCTTAAATGTGGCTTAAGAAGAAAACAGTTTCCTCGGTCCTAGTTCGGTTCGGTTTTCACCCTTCCCGTTGGTTTCGTATCATGCTGCTAAGGGGTTTCTAAGTTGGCTGGCTGATAGAAGCCCATCAGCAGGAAATGCGGAAAGGTAAATCCTTAATGGGGGTTGATCTTCTGGAAAAGGCTGTGGGGTTAGATTGCGAAGAGTAGGAGTAGGATTGCGTGAAGAATGGAGTAGGATTGTAAGGTAAGGAGGAAATTGCAGTATTTTGCATAGTTTTTTTTTTTAAAGCAGTTTGCGTGTCTGACAGCATTTTTTATTTGAAAGCACAGGGAAATGTGGTATGACCAATAAAAGGAAGAACATGGATTTGAGGTTTGGTTTAAAAAAGTTCCAGAAAGCTTTTGAGGAAGAACTAGGGTGGAGATTTAGATGCGGATTGGAGTGAACTGACAACTTTTCCCTTCATACTGGTGCTAAATGGGAAAGGCGATAGCAACTGGTGGTGGGTTATATCAGGGTATCGTGAAAATCTTGTAATGTTTGAGAGGGTATTTTTGGCTGCAAGTTAGGGCTATACATATCACTCGAGGGGGGAAAAAGCTTGTTAGCCCAGTGTAATAAAAACAGATTAAAGTTTTATTTAACCCCCTATTTTTTAAACGCTTTAAGTAAAAATCCATGCTCACACTGCAGTCCCAAGGGTGGTGAAACTAAAATCTTCAAATGACTTTCTTCCGGATCAGTCTCATTGATTTTATTATAGTGGCATCAATACGGAACTAGCTGGAGGATTGCAGCTTTAATTGAATTTTAAAGTCATGGTTTCACTAACTCGAGATAAAGTTAGAAGCATCTTGTGGTGACCGAATATCCGACATGTATTTGCAATAGATATATTGTAAACCTGGCCTTTTCCACTGACCTGGGAGTAAGTTTCTGGAATACAGTGAGACTATGATGTAAACATATATACGATTTGGCTACATGTGCTTAGTTTCTTGGGAGTATTGCAGATGAGTTGTGCAGATAAGGTTTTTCTTTTATGGCAGCTGCTTGCCACCTCTTTGTGTTTTAATATTGTTATGCTTGCTGCTGCTTTTAAAGCCTGCCAAATTTCTGTTGTCTCTGCCCCGGTGAATTCGTAAAGGGCTCCTGTGAACACAGCGTTCTTTCTCTTCCTGCCTGTGAGACTGGAAGCAGCCATATATTCAGCTAGACATCTGGTGGATGCTTATTCATGGGAGCAAAACAAACCCACCTTCTTTTGACCAGTAAAAATGCTGGGCGGCACTATCTGAGGAAAAGTTGGGAGGGAGTAACAAAGAGTGATTGAAGCGGCTCTTTGAAGCTCATGGCTACTGGGGCATCAGAGCAGCTTGGTATCTCTAACCTCTGTCTTGAGACATGCAGTATATATTCTCTTGTGTGTTTGAGAGTGAGTTATGGTAGAATCCTGTTATACTTGTACACTATTAGTCTGGTTGGAAATACATTTTTGGTAACTGATATCCTGGGCACCATATTGGGAATACTAGAATCTGTCACTGGAAAAGGGGAAGCAGGAGAGAGCTTGTTGGGGGGCATCTTCCCTAATGTTTGCTTTGCATCACACTCATTCGCATCGCTTCCTGAACAACCTTGGAAAGAAGCTTAGAGAAGTGACTAGTTCACTTCTGTGACCACGCTTACTTATTTTAGCATATGTCTTTGCTAGCACCGTTGCTACAGGAGAATATGTCCCCTTGAGCACAGTGGTGGTTACTTCTTTGGAAACATCCATAGAATTGTGGTATAAGAACATAAGAAGAGACTTGCTGGATCAAAGCGACAGTCTTATCTATTTGAGCATTCCATCCACAGGGTGGCAAACCAGCTGCTCACAGGATTCCATAAGCAGGATGGGTGCAAAAGTAACTGTTGCATGTAGGTATGACCAGACCTCCTTTGGTCAAGGAGGTAGCACATAGCCAGCAAGGATAGTCACCACTGATAGTCTCCTCCCTCATGAATCTGTCCAGGTCCTTTTTAAATCTGTTCAGGTTGCCACTTCCTGTGGCAGCAAATTCCATTATTTAACTATATGTTATATGAAGAAGAACTTCCTTTTAAGAACTTCCTAAAGTTCCCACTAATCAGCTTAATGGGATGACTTTGAGTTCCAGAGTTATGGTAAAGGGAGAAAAATGACTCCTTCACTCTTTCCACATCGTGCTTTTTAAAATTTAAGACTTTCGAGCTAGGATCAGCAACTTGTAGCCCTCTAGATGTTTTGGCCTACAGTTCCCATAATCTCTCACTATTGGCTATGCTGGCTGGCCAAAACATCTGTATGGTCACACATCAACCACTTTTACTTTAGAGTATGATCAGAAAGTTTTCTGAGTACCCTGTCCCATATCCTGTGTAACTCAGAGGTTGGTTGATGAGCAGATGTAGGTTCTTGCCCTGTAGCAGTGTGTTGGTGCATATGAGATCTATAGATTGGAGAGCGTGGAAATTAAATTTAGAGCGCTCCTTGATCTTCTGCCCTTTCTTTCCTGGCAACAGGGCCTGCTTGTCTGGAATAGCCATTGACCCAAAAGACAGGAACTCAGCAGTTCCTTCCTTTATCTGCTGCATTTGAAGTCCCTTCCCCAGGCTTTAGCAAGAAAGAGAAGGGAACACAGTAACAGGAGATAACTCATGGATCTCCCAGCATTTCTGTGTTCTGACTGCAGATAACTTACAACTTCCCTAGGAAATCCTGCCCTGGAGTTCGAGAATCTAGGCTATGGACAAGCAACTTGGCCTTCTTTAAATGTTTTGTACTGCAGCTCCTGTAAGCCCAACCCAGCAGCTCAGGAATTAAGGAAGCTGTAGTCCAAAATATCTGAGGGGCACAGGCTGTATCCTGTGAGCTGGTTCATATTGGTCTTGTAACAAATGTGTGACTATGAATTTAAGATGCATAGAATTTCAGTAAGGTAGAATTTTCACATTGTTCTGTGGTGGCTTTTTGGCAGGCCTGCTGGGGAGGGATATCATATTCTTTTCCTCATTCGGTTTTGCATATGGCTAACGAGCTGCAAATAATAGTGAAACCTTTTGATGTGATGGTATTCTTGGATAATAGCACTGGACACAGCATTTGGCATTGCTTTTTTGTAGTGGCTATGAGAATGTGCAGTGAGGTCTTTCCTTTGGACTTCATCTTTCCCATTAAGATCCCCCTCCCCCACACACATCCTGTACCTGCAGTATCAAGGTGATACAGGACTACTTTCCAGAATTGCTGTCAGAGTTAACTTGTATAACTATGTAAACTTTCCCAATGCAATATCTGCAGATGTTTTTGATTACTTTTGGCCATGTTGGCTGAACTTTAAGATGTCTAAAATATCTGGAAGGCACCGTGTTTGGGGAAGATGAATTATGCTGAGGTGAACAACCTGTAGGCCAAAATACCTGGAGGACCACTGCCTAACCATTATAAACTGTAGGACAAACTACCCAGAAGTCCACAAGTTGCCCACCCCTGCTTTAATGGGAGAACATATATGGAAATATTTGAAAATGTAATATAAATTCCAAATAGTTTTCTTCCTCAGTATCTTGAAGTTGGTCAGAAAAAAAAATCAGAAGAAGAATCATGTTTCTAGTTCTCATTAGGCACTTGGCCATCTGAGTGGGATGGTATAAGGTAGTGTCCTGCAACAGCAGGGGGTAGGACTTGAAAGCCTTCATGGCTCCTTCCAACTCTTCCAGTCTATGATTCTATGATTTTCTTTCTCTTCCATAATGCTCACAACAATACTTGTAGCAGAATGGGAGGACTATCTACATAACATGCAGATGAAGTCAGGCTTTCTGTGATTAATGTACCTAGTTTTGGGCCTTTTAAACCTAGGATATTTTTTAAACCTCAACTTGCAATCTTTTAATTCTTTTATTGTATGTGTGCCCCACTCTTTCAATTTCTCTTTTTAAAGAATGCAAACAAAAATTAAATGGTTCTGCTAGCACAATCCAGCATAGTCCTAATTGTTGGTCCTTATCCATGAGTTCAGAATCCATGTTTTGTCTTTTCCCGTTTTTAGTCCTGGCATCAGAGGAGTGTGTTGGACAGTACCTTGACCTGCAAGTTGGTACAGCCCACCCAAACACGCAATCTATTTTCAGTAATCTGTTCCCAAGGGACAGGAGCCAAAACCAGTGATGATGAAATGTTGAATTTTGACTTTTTGGCTGGAAGCCTGAAACAGTTCTTCAAAATCTGAAGAAGCTACAATTTGCCTGTGCGGTTTACAATATTCTTCCTAAGTGGCTTTTTCCTATTTTAAAGGATAGCTTAAAGCAGTTTTCCTAATGTTTATAGAGAGTGACTGATTCAAATTTACCGCATGTTTTTAATCTGCAGACAAATTTTAAGATTTTATGGCCAGTCAGCATTGCTGCTACTTTTCCTTTTAGTTTTGATCAAGGTTCTGGCAGTAAACTATACACTGTAAGCCAGTGGTTGTGGAATATGTGGAAGGACATTAGTGATTAGCAAAATAAACCTCTTAGTTCCTGCAACTTTAGCTGAGCAACAGAGTGCGGATATTTTGCAAACTATATTTGAAGACAACAACTCTTGATGGATCTAAATATCTCTTACAGAATCAGTATAATGCACAGTTGGTTCGTAACATTAGGTAGTGTACTAATGTGACCAAGGAAAACTGAACAGAATGGAGCTCTTCGGATAGGCTCAGGCATGATTTATAATAGTAGGAAGCACATTTAGCTGTCTAATAGTTTTTGAGCCCTTTGCTTTCTCCATGCAAATAATGGCTTTCCCCAAAAAGTGAATGGAAAGCAAACCGTTGCGCTTCTGCATACTGCTGCAGT